TAGGGTACAAACTCAGGAGAACAAGAAACAAGAAAGTGCAATTTCCTCAAATAAGCCAATTTACAATTTGCTATAGATGAGTGACGTTACAAGTACAATTTAAGTGCTACAATTTGTTAGTCTTTAGTCGAGGTAGAGTCTGAAGAGGTGTGTCTTTAGTTTGCGGCGGAAGATGTGAAGGCTCTCTGTGGTCCTGATGTCTTCAGAGAGCTCGTTCCACCATTTCGGCGCAAGGACAGCGAAGAGTCAAGACCTAGTCGAGTGTTTTGCTCTCAGTGAGGGAGGGACGAGTAGTTTTGCAGATGCATAGCGGAGAGTGCGGGTTGGGATGTAGGGTTTGACCATGTCCTGGATGTAAGCTGGACCCGATCTATTCACAGCATGGTACGTGAGCACCAATGTTTTGAACTGGATGCGGGCGGCCACCGGTAGCCAGTGAAGAGAGCGGAGGAGTGGAGTAGTGTGGGAGAATTTCGGAAGGTTGAAGACCAGTCGATCTGCTGCATTCTGAATGAGCTGCAGAGGTCGAATGGCGGTGGCAGGGAGACCAGCCAGGAGGGAGTTGCAGTAGTCCAGGCGGGAGATGACAAGAGCCTGAATCAGTACCTGCGCTGCCTTCTGAGTGAGAAGGGGACGTATTCTCCTGATGTTGTAGAGCGTGTATCTACAGGATTGCGTTGTCGCGGTGATGTTGGGAGTCAGGGAGAGTTGGCTGTCGAGTGTGACGCCGAGGTTCTTAGCGGTCAAAGTGGGCGTTAGTACGGAGTTCCCAAAGTTGACTGTCAGGTCCTGGGTAAGCGAATCTTTTCCGGGAAAGAGAAGTAGTTCAGTCTTGTCGGGATTGATTTTCAGATGGTGGGCGGACATCCACTGGGAGATGTCAGTTAGACAGGCAGAGATCCGAGCCGCCATCTGGGTGTCCGAGTGAGGGAAGGAGAGAATTAGTTGGGTGTCATCGGCATAGCTGTGGTAAGAGAAGCCATGCGAGCGAATGACAGCGCCAAGAGAGTTGATGTAAAGCGAAAACCGGAGGGGACCCAGCACGGAACCCTGAGGAACTCCAGTAGTAAGAGGACAAGGTTCCGACACAGATCCTCGCCAGGTTACCCGGTAGGTGCGGCCGTCGGGGTAGGACGAGAGAAGGGAGAGAGCAGAGCCTGTGACACCAAGTTCCTGAAGGGAGGAAATAAGGATCTGGTGGTTGACCGTGTCAAATGCAGCAGAGAGGTCCAGAAGGATGAGGACAGAGGAGAGAGAGGCGGCTCTAGCAGTGTGGAGTTGCTCTGAGACAGCAAGGAGAGCAGTCTCTGTGGAGTGGCCTGCCTTGAAACCTGACTGGTGGGGGTCAAGGAGGTTGTTACAGTGGAGATAAGAGGAGAGTTGATTAAAGATAGCACGTTCAAGGGTTTTGGACAAAAAGGGAAGAAGAGAGACCGGTCTGTAGTTGTTTTCTTCAGAAGGGTTGAGGGTGGGTTTCTTCAGGAGAGGGTTGACTCTTGCCTCCTTCAGAGAATTGGGAAAACAGCCAGATAACAGAGCGTTGTTGATGAGACAGGTGAGGAACGGAAGAAGGTCAGGTGCGATAGATTGTAGAAGATGTGATGGAATGGGGTCAAGAGGGCAGGTGGTCGGACGGGCAGAGGTTACTAGGGTAAGAATTTGGTTAGGAGAGAGGGCGGTGAAAGAGGAAAGTGAGGGCGAAAGAGGTGAGGTCGGTGGGACGCGAGAAGTAGGAGGTGGGTTTGAGAAGGAGCGTATGTCAGCTATTTTCTTGGTGAAGTAGTTGACAAAGTCTCCCGGAAGAAGGGGGGAGGAGGGAGGAGGGGTAGGGAGTTCGAGGAGATTGGAGAAGATCGAGAAGAGTTTTTTGGGGTTAGAGAATGTGGATTCGATTTTGGATTGGTAGAAAGAGCTTTTGGCAGCAGAGATAGAAGCAGAAAACGAGGAGAGGAGAGATTGAAAATCAAGCAGGTCGTCAGGTCGTTTATATTTACGCCATCTCCTTTCCGACGCTCGCATGGTGGCTCTCATGGCACGGACCGGTTGAGACAGCCACGGAGCCGGAGGGGATTTGCCAGTCCGTCGTGTCGTAAGAGGGCAGACAATATGTTGTCAGATGGATCACTGAGGTTTATCACTTGAGCGGTTGATCCTGATTCATTGTGAGGAGCATCATGTGATGATGTTGTGATGAAGACCTCTGGTTGTTTTACAGCTGGAGTGTGAGGAGTCGTTTCAGGTGAACTGGTCTGATCAGTGGCTGTAGGTGAAATTGATTCATCCACAGGGACAGCTGTAGGTCTGCAGTCTGTGTTTAGGAGACCATCGTTCAGGTTGACTGTGTTCATGTTGTAAAACTCCACAGGTTTCAACTCATAGTTACAGGAGGACTGTGTGTCCATCATTCTGTGGGACTTCTTGAGCCTGTCAATCATGTCACTGAGACGTGAGAATGTCACCATGACAGCAGTACCTGGTGTGCGTGAACCGGCTGGTAGGGGCAAACCTCTGGCTGTTCTGGAGTGTGGGTCAAAGAAACCGTACCTGCCTGACTTGGTTCTGAACACTGCGATACACAAGAGTCTCATCAACAGCAGAGCGTACTTCACATCTGATAACAAGCAGCTGAGTCCTGACTCCAGGTCCAGAAAGCTGTCCACAGCTCCAGGTAAAGGTTCTCCTAATGTGCCGTACCTTGAAAGCTGAGTCATGTCTGCATAGTGTGTAGCGCTGCGTGCAGGAACTTCATTAGTGAGCTCGTCGGTGGTCAGATAGATGTGATTAGTGACTTGTTTCCTGGTCTCTCTATACACCGTGTTACCTTTATCCACAACATGGTCCAGGTCTGCTCAGGTGATGCTTTCATTCTCATGGAGGAATGCAAGAAAGGTCAGTGAGTTACAGGTGCACTGCCGATTCCTGGATCTGCCTTATCTGATAGAAGTGGGATGCACGGACATGTTGTTCAGAAGGCTGATCTCCAGGGTCTACACGGTCTGCATTAGAAGGTCCTGCTGCACATGGTTCTTTACTGAGTTGTCCTCTCTTTACAGTATCTGATACCTGTGGTACACATGACTCATCACTTTGACCTCTAAGGTTTACCTGCTTGACATTATAAGGTCCTGCTGTACATGGTTCTTTACTGGCTTGTCCTCTCTTCATAGTATCTGAAACCTGTGGTATGCATGAAGCATCAGGCTGACATCTCTGGTTCACCTGGTCTACATTACATTACGTGTCATTTAGCAGACGCTTTTATCCAAAGCGACTTACATTACACTTTAAACCCATGGCTTTTTTCACATTTTTGCCTGGGGAGCAATTAGGGGTTGGGTGTCTTGCTCAGGGACACTTCGACATGGAACAAGGGGCAGCCTGGAATCGAACCACCAACCTTGTGCTTCCCAGCACACCTTCTCTAACCCCTGCGCCACGACGACATTAGAAGGTCCTGCTACACATGGATCATCACTGTGCTGTCCTCTCTTTACAACATCTGCATAAGATGGTGGTGGTGCACATGAAGCATCAGGCTGACCTTCCTGCTCCACACGTTTACACTCTGCAGACATCTTCACCTCTCCACTGCTCTCAGGACCAACACATTCTGCTCCTACAGTCGTTGTTGCAAAGGGATTCTCATTGGGCCGTTGCCAGCGTAGGCTCTGAGCTTGTGACCTCTTACTCTTCCTTGGCATTGTTGATGTTTCAAAACCACAAATGTTGTACAAAACCAAGATATTAAATGCAATAAGTAAAATATTACTTTTAACGAACAAGGATTTGAAGATGGTTTAAACCTGCTTGCTGCTATAAATCAAAAACACTTATGAATGAAAAATTAACTCAGTTTGGGCTTACGCTTTTCAAAACATGAATAAATAACACTTATCAATATAGATAAATATATTATATTTGAACGTAAAATTCAGTGACAGCAACCTGAAGGATTATTTTATAGTTTGAATATAAAAAACACAATGAAATTATCCAGCTGACGTGTTCTAATATATGAGGGTCCAGACAAAGCACTTCTAGATTTTATTTTATTTGCTGTTTTTATTTGCTGTTTTTAATTGTCTTTTAATTCCTGCATTTTATTTCACTTTATTGTATGAAATGTTATGATGTGAAGCACTTTGAGTCTGCCTTGTGTATGAAAAGCGCTATACAAATAAAATTGCCTTGCCTTGTCTAGATTTGAATACTGCAATCAGGTCTTAGTATGTCTGTCTGTGTAAATAAAGTACCATGTACTAAAGTGACCGATGGTATTTAATATGTAATAGATATTGCTTACTGAGACCTTGACTTATCTGTGGAAATATATAATCAATGTAAAAACTGAAGTCTACCACAAACACACAACTTGGAACCAGTTGACTGAAAGTGCTCTTCCAGATTTCAAATGGCTTAATTTACTGGTAGAAATGATCTTAATACTTTATTAGGCTATTGTTTACATTCAGGAGCAGTTGTTGTAGGAGTGTGATGACAGATGGATGCTTCTGAAGAACGTTGGATCAGCAGGAAACAGCCACTCCTGATGAATCCACTTGCTCCTGGTTGACGTCTGTGTTTTATTTCAGTATAAACAACAAAACACTGATATGCACAATGTAAGTTTATATGAAAAAATTATGTATTCATTAATTAGGTAGAATTGATACAATCATGTAGCGGGATTATTTTTCCTTGTACTTTGACTAATCAAGTTAACAACAGTGTTTGCTCACAAAACAAACCTTTGAGTACAAACCAACAGGTGCACAGCAACAGCGATCAGGAGCAAATACACTTCTCTAATATGGATTTGTAATAGTTATGTATTTTATTATATATCAGAGTGCAGTTGTCTTTAATTATGTTAATTCAATGCACTTTTGCAAATAGGAAATCTACCTGATTCAATTATAAAGAGTACTTTTTTTTACAATCCAATTCTTTGGATCAAGGTGTAGTTTTTTCAATTATAACAAAAAGATTTGTACTTTACGTTTTTTTCAGCTTCTGAATTAACTTTTCAATTCTTTGTTCAGGCCAATTTTGTTAATCTCATTAATAGTAATTTCAAATGTTTTGTCAAATTAGTAAAAACAGTAATAGTATTGTATAAATATAGGAGTTGATAGGAGAGAGGTGAGAGTGAGAGAAGAGAATCTCTCAGATCATTCAAAAAGGTAGATCAGGTACCAATAACCCGGGTGAGTGAGTGTTCAGAGGAGAGACAGAGAGCGGGAGAGTGGAGATACTCTCAGAGTTCTGTTCAGACAGGTTGCAATAACCTTAGGTTCAGGTTTCAGGGTTCAGGTTTCAGAATATCAGGGTTTTCAGGCTTCTGTATACAGATAGAGTGGGATAGAAGAGGGATACAAAGATAGAGTTTCCAAAAGCAGACAGAGCGGTAGATTTGACAGGAAAGCTAGAGTTATCAAATTGTAGACAGAGTGGATACAAGGTATAGGATAGACAAAGAGCCAATGGGATAGAGGAGGAGAGATGCTGGATAGCAGGACACCTGCAAGACACAAGAAAAACATCCGTTAGACAATCTTCTACCACCACTGGATCATTGAAGGTGTCATCTAACCGTAACATATATATGCTGGCAGACACTTATTGAGTGTTGATTAATTAAGACTATTCTCCTGGAAAATGTTGACAGAGGGACATCAAAACCGTAGAAGGCTAAAGCTGTTGGTTGTACATCAAGAACTGTCAACAATGACTCCTGAGCCGATGTGGGGCTCCCGTGATGCTGTAAGTGCACGCATTGTAAAGCCCTGAGAATATTTTTTTACGCTCTGTGAACCAAGCAGAATCCGTAACACAATACAGTGTTTCCCCTACCATTATAAGAGGGGGGCACGCCTCCCCCCCTGAAATAACTGCACCCTCCCCTGAAAAAGTGTGCCATTTAAAAGTGTATATATATTATTATTTATTTATTTTTCTACGCACAGCAGTCCCACACTGACATTACTATGTTGCAAATATGTCCGTGTGGCGCTCGCAGCAGCGGGGCAGAGAGCACCAGAGTAACAACAGCCCTCAAAGAAGACACAGCTGACACAAAGCTGCTAACATACGTGCCGAAATAAAACCAAGAGGTTGAGCAACACACGCATGCTGCTCACACAGGGAATGCAGCTCGGCCATCGGTGATTCATTACAACTAAATGTTTTAAGAAAGTGCATTCAGTTGTCAATCATATGTGAGAACTTACTGTCAAATATCCAAGAAGTCACCAACACTGGCAGGCTGCAGTTAGACAGGGAAGCGGAGGCAGAAGGAAAGAGAACTCAATGAGGGTTTCGAGACAGGTTATTATGATTAAAAGGCATACTAAACTCTAAACCATCCATCCATTGTCAAACCGCTTATCCTGCACACAGGGTCGTGGGGGGCTGGAGTTTACTTACAGCAATATCTGAATTGATGTGTGAACTTGCACTTTAGAGTCACCAGCCGTTTTGGTCTGCCGTTCAAGATAGAAAAGGCGAGTCGGCAGGAGGAGGAGGAGGGTGACGGATGAAGAGAGGGAGAGAAAAGGAGACATTTTCAGTTCAGTTTATTTAAAATGTACTTTCAATGTATTTCCTTATTGATCATTTTTGTCTCATTGAAAAGTCACAATTTTCACAAAAGTAATATAAAGAATATAAATATTCATTGCAGTGTGGCAGATTTGTGGCAATACTGACTGATGTCAACAAGACAACAAATAATGAACATACATATTGAATATATTATTTCAATATGTGTTAATGCCTCTCGGGGACTTTAATAATTAAAATGGCTCTATAGTATGGTACATATAATCAGAGCCGGGGCAATTAGTTTGATAGCTGCAATAGCTGTATGAAATTAAAGAAAGAAATGTAAAACTCTCTGATTCCACCTTCTCAAACGTAATATCTTTTAATCACTTAATTCCTCAATAAAAATAAACAAAGACATTTGAGGACATTATCTTGCAATATAGACTATTAAAACGTTTCCCATTTCAAGTATTAACTATTCAACTGATAAAGAAACACAAACAAAATATACATCAACAATTTCAAAAATGATATGTGGCAACCATCCACAAAATACAATGTAAATGTTCTTTTAATAAATTGAAAAGATCTACGTATGTCATATACGTATGCAGTATAGTTATGTAGTTGTGTAGTAGTGTTAGCTATTTCTGTTACATTATTTTTAACTTACCAAACACAATGCAGATAAGGAGGATGCTCTGTTGTCTGAGAGAGAAAACAATATGACAAACTGACATTAAGAAGGTTCAAACTTTCAGCCTTTAAACAAAACACCATAGGAAACATAGTTAATTAACCTTAACGTTAGTTAATTATGTTTCTCAAAACTACTTTAAATGGTATTGACATCGGATTTGTAACTTATCCATAATTCAGACATGAATGGAGGAGTGAAATATTCCTGTGGTTACCACATGCTAACTTCTACGTAGGCCTAATGCTAAAAATAGGTACACCAATCAGTTGGCTGACTAATTTGGCAGCGAGCAAAGTAACGCTAACCAGCTAACTAGTAGCTAATACCAACAAACTAGTCAACACAAACTGACACAACCCTTGCAATTCTAACCAATTTGTCAATGAACGTACTTTAAGACGGGAAGCTGAAAGGAATTTCAATAGATTTGCTGAAAAAGCAGAAATGAAAACAACTGAAATAAATGTTAAATCTTGCAAAAAAAGAAGAGAAATGAATATTAAAACATTGATTTTAATAGAGGCATAGGAAAAGCAGAAATTATTTTTTTAAAAGCTGCTGGAAATACAGGAAGTGGGGAAGCTGAATTTCAATAGATTTTCTAAAAAATACAGAAGTTGCAGGAGCTTGATTGAATTTTAAAAGGTACAGAAATAACAAAAGCTGAGATGAATAAAAAGAGGTTGAAAATTGTTTGTAGTAATATTAGTAGTAGTATTAGTTATAGTTGTAATTGTGGTATTAGTAGTACTAGCAGTAGAAGTCGGTTTAGTATCAATAGCAGTAGAACCAGCTGTAATACTACTACTATTAGCCATAGTAGTATTTGTAATAACATTAGTAGTAGTTGTAGTATTAATAGCAGTAGAACTACTAGTAGTATGGTAGTAGAAGTATCAGTTGTAGTCAGGGCTGTAGTGGAGGGTAAACGCACGTAAACGCCGTTAACGCACCTCTGGAATTTTGGAAATAGCGTTTACGCACCTATTAGTGGCGTTTACGCACCTCAAAGTTCCCTGCGCCTTGTATTCTTCCGTTGGAATAATCCAAAATAAACTTGGTGTAATTTTAAAACAGCTAAGACTACGTTTCCTATTGTTGAACATATAAACGGCTTAGTCTGAATCATTTCCATCTGCGCTGTATTATCAATTAGTGCCTTGCGGCTGCAGCAGCGACACCAATCAGGATCCAGGAGGTGTGTAAACATACACGCTGTGGATCAGCCCAGTGGTCCCCAACCTTTCTTACCTCACGGACCGGTTTCATGTCAGACAATATTTCGCGGACCGGTCGAGAAGGTCCGACGGGGGAGAAGGGGGGGGGGGGTAGTAGTCGTTGCGGGCGGAACGACCGACGGGGGGGGGGTAGTAGTCGCGCGCTCTGTGTTCGCTGGTCGTGCACGGTAAAAGGACAAGAAAAACGCCAGTGACGCGCGCACATAATTAGGAGAAAATCCAGAAGGCTCTGCCTCCCCTGTCATCATGAGTGGGGAGCAAAGCTGTTGCTTCACTGAATAGGCCTATATGCTTAATCAATTATTTTAAGTCATGAAAGGTGTAGAGTGTTGGGGGAAAATTGTTGAGCCTGCGTGGGGTGAGGCTCTCAGGAATGTGACCTTTGATGTGAGCCGGTGACTTAGGGCAGTTCAGGGTGAGATAAGACACAGATGAAATCATACGTTCCCTGACTGACCTTTTAGATGTTGTTGATTGTCTGGGTCCATAAAGGGAGGGTCACGGGGTCACCCCTACATCATCTGGTACTTTTCCAACACTCCTCTTTGAGGGGTGGGCTGTCCTGTCCTGAGGCAGCACAAACCTCCCTGAAGTGTATATAAGCTCCTGTTCTCCTCTTCAACTTTGTCAGATCTTCCTGCTCCTTTTGGGGGAAGGAACATCTGTCCCTTTTTAGCTGAATTGTAGTCATTTGACTTCTGTCTGTGCTTACGACTTGTGCTGATGATTTCTGTATTCTTTATCCTTTTCCTATATTCTAGTTAGTAATAAATACTTAATCACAAAGCAAGCTCAAGATACTTTTGATTTCTCACATGGGCTAAATCCACAAATTTCCACCACATAGAGTAGCCTGTAAGCGTTAGAAAACAAGTCAGTTCTCAATGTGAAAACAAAACATGCTGTAGGCTATTTCTGATGACATAGGTAGTACATGAGTGTTCCTTTAACTCATGTTGTCAGTGTAATTGACAGGCTGCTTAACTGGTTAACTCTTAAATTCAACATGTTTTTTCAGGCAGTGATAAGACAGGCAATGATGCAGAGAGCACAGGGAGAGGAGAAACACCAGGTCCAATAGAAAGAGGAGAAGCACAGAGGAGCCATGAACCCCAGAACGCGTGTTCTGGGGTTCATGGCTCCTCTGTGCAAGGCAGGACCTGACGTGGAGGACAAGGAGGCCCTCTGGGCACTACTGTAAAAAGGAGACTCCGTATGTAGATAGTTCTTAATCTGCAATTGTCTTGTTGTGTTGTGTTGACATACTTTTCTTTACTGTTTTCTTAAATTTAATAAACTACTAACACATTTATTCATTGTCATTGATTGTATATGACTTTTACTGATAACATAATGCAATATAGCCAGGACAGCCTTACAGAGTCGCAACGCTTTGTGTTGCGTTGCTTCGCATCGCGTCGAGGTCTGTATGATCACAAAATTCAGAGTTTACCCACCTCTAATTTCACCACAACAGCACTGCACCCAATGTTCCATCAAAGTAAGGAGAACCCAGCGTGTCTGTGAGCCTCAGTAAACTGAGCTTAACGTTGGGATAGTCTAAATGACAATGTTGACAAGACTTGTCTGTCCAGGGCTCCTGGACCTTGAAGTCTTGAACTGAGTATTAACCTAGGTCTGGAAACAATGTGAAAAGCCTTTGATTGTAGGAAATTAACCATATTGTTAACTATTGAAACTATAGTAAATGTATTCATGAATATCAAACAAAGGGACCAATGATCACAAAACTATGTTGATAAATTTCTCACTCTAAGATTTTATCTTCCACGAAATACATTATGGTCAATACAACAGTACTTGTGCACTGTACTTATCTGTTACGTTCTGACTCCCCAGGAGGGGAGTGGGATTCACGCCACTGCCCGAGGACGTCCTGTGACCAGTAAACGGGTATGGCGTCGTAGGTGCAAGAAAACAAACATCACCTGAAGTTAGGGTAAGCAGGCTTTTATTTAAGCGCTGTTAACAGGGGAAATGAGGAGGGCTGGCGGTACCAAAGCAAAGAAAAGAACAAAATGCCTCCCACCCCCTTACCTGTCCTATCTCCCAACGAAAACCACTAACTGGCACACTAACAAGGCACCCTAACCAAACTTACAGTAGGTGGCCCAGCCAGGTGTAGCTAGTGTTGTTAGACAGGAGAGTAACACTACGTGCAGGTATGTAAACTCCAGAGCAGGGCTAAACTACTCCTCATCCCCCTGTAAGAAAAATAACAAAGAAAAAACAATTAATTGAATACACAGTACCGAAAATCACCAGAACTAAAACACTACCCCACCATACACCAGCACTCACATATACACATCCAGTGACACCCACCCGGGTGAAACAAACACAGGGGTACATATACTGACAGAAGGGCATGATGGGATTGGAGATGAGTGGAAACAGCTGAACCGGGTAACGAGAGTGGGTGGAGCCAAGATGAACGGAGATCATAGATGATCAGTACCACCTGTATGAACACACACACACACACGAAACAGAACACATACCTATACACAGAACAGGGGACGTAACATTATCTATATTATTTTATTATATTTCGATAGACGATAATGAGTCAAAAAAGGATGTAAAGATGGGATGTAAATGCATCTTTTGAAATATAGCACACACCTCAAACTACTGGTAGTGACAAAATAATGTTCTGCCTGGTCTGTGGTATACATCTATTTAAAAAGTTTTTCTTATAGGCACTATGGGTTCATCTTGTGGGATCTTTGTGGATAAAAACGGCTTCTGCAGAAAGGGTTTCCTTTTTCTTTATTTCCAATT